TGGCCCCTCTGCACGGGGTTTCAACAAAGCAGGAAGGAAGGAGGATCTTCGGAGCGAATCGCAGAAAGAACCCCTCAACTCCTCCGAACTTGTCTGAGTCTGTCGGTTCCGTCGACACGAAGCCTTATGAGCCCGGGATCCGGTGTAAGTTGGGCACCCTAAACCCCTCAAAACCCCCCTGCATTTGTTTTTTTCTCATTTCCGTTGAGAGGTGTGTGCTGTATCTGACCCAGAAGTTTAGAGGCAGCCGGGCCAGGACGGCACCGTTTCCATGTCCGAGCTGGTCTCCGGGCTGATGAGGCCGGGTGTGGGGTGTTCAGCATGAATAGCAACACACTTATATAGAAACTATCATAATAATAATAAAAGTGTAATCATCATAGTAAAAATCAAGGTAAAAAAATCACATAATACAATACAATACAATCATATCATATCATATGAATAGAAGCTGAGAGTTAGAATTGAGCACTGCTTTTGCTCTCAAGCTTATGGTGGACTGTAGTGACCGTAGCATTGATCTCCAGCTGTCAGAATAAGGCGACCTAGGCGCACCAGGGAGGTACATAAGCCTACAATGGCTTGGGTGCTTTTGCGCGTATCTTGTAGGATGTAGGCTCCGCGAGTTTATGGTTTAGGACGCCCAGGTGTTCTCTATCCACCCCAAGGCCACACGTCTCCACCTTCAGAATGTTATGGCTCTCTTTGAGAAAGCCTTTTGCCTCTCAAGAAGCCGAAACAAGAAGCCGAAAAAGCGGGGGCCAACTCCTAGAAGTCAAGCCCTTCAACTGCGGTCGGAGTTGCCGTCCTGTGCACTCCTCTGCTTTCCCCTTGCGCCCCAGACTCCGTGGCGACCTCCACAAAGTGGACCTCGTCATCGTTCAGACTGCCTTGGACTGGGGAGGGGCGCGGTTGTGAAGTCAGCCTTTTACTTGGAGCCGGTTGTTTCTTTGTGATGAATGGTTTTTTGTCTTCGTGTTGGGGAGAAAAAAGGGGTGGGGCTCGTTCTGATGAGTAACCCTCCCAGAAGGAAGCCACAGCACCTCTGGATCTCGGCAAGCCCCTGACTGCCCTAAACCCTAAACCCTGACCCCGCAGTGCGGGTGGCGAAACCCTAAACCCTAAACCCCAAACCCTAAACCCTAAATCCTAAGCCCTAAGCTCACAGAGAAGGACCACCTCCAGAAGCAAGTGGGCGACGTGCGCGCCTGTCAATCGCGGCGCGGCCGGTGTGTTTTTTTGTTGTTGTTTAGGGTTTGGGGCTGGGGTTTAGGGTTTGGGGTTTAGGGTTCAGGGGTTGTGGCCGATGCCCTCTTTCAGGGAGGGCAGGGTATAGCAGGATTATAGGATCGTTCAAGAAGTATGCACGGCTTGATGAAACAAGAGGCGTTCTTCTTCCGAATGGCGTGTGGTGATTTCCCGCTCTTATGAGGGACCTAGGAATGGCGACCCCGCCACAAAGCTTGCGTTTACTGTATGCTTTATAGCCCGCCGAGAGAACAGAGAGAGAGGGAGTAAAACTAGAAAAAAGGGAGAGAGATAGAGAGAGAGAAATAGAGAGAGAGAGAGAGAGAGAGAGAGAGAGAGAGGGAGAGAGACGGAGAGAGGGAGAGACAGAGAGACAGAGAGACAGAGAGACAGAGAGACAGAGAGACAAAGAAGAGAGAGACTGAGAGACTGTGACACTGTGAGACCGCGAGACCGAGAAAAGGACGAGATAGTTGCTGACATGCGCTTGCGATGTTGGCAAGACGCCTCATCACACGAACTACAAGCAGCACCTTGTGTAGGCCCCTTTGGCCCCCTCAGCCTCAGGAAGCTTTTGCGGAGGATGCCCACCAAGAGGCACTCCTTCGCCGATCAGTGAGGTCAAGCGTGCTTGGGATCGGTCCTTCATGGGGGCTATAAAGGTTGGGATGTCCACGGGATGTCCACCCTTGTAGCACCAGTCCCCGAAACCCTTGAGCCCTAAACCTTGAGCAAACCCTAAACCCCAAACACGGGTCAGGTTGTTATTCTTATTTTTCTTCTTATTATTAGAGATATAGACTCACCCGGATAGCCTGCACAGCATGCACTCATATATGATTAAAAATAGAACTCAAGAGGTAAAATGAGAGAGGTTCTGCCAGGTTCTACAGTAACATCATAAACAATATGGAATTCACCGCGCCGACAAGTAACACCCAGGGCATTGTAGTTTCGCAAAGTATAGTCTAAATATAGAAGGCAATAAGTACATACCATTGCTCCAATCAGTTGCGTGCGTTTTGTCGAGTACGAGTGGCAGAAAAAAACAAAAAAGTGCACGCCCACAGTCCCCCGGACTCTTATTATCATTATTGTTGTTATTATTCTTATTCTTATTCTTCTTATTATTTTTACGATGATTATTTAATAATAACATAATAGTAATAATTATGATTATTACTGTTATTGTTATCATTGTGATTATCATTGTTACTATTACTACTACTGTTCGTATGTTATTATTATTAATTATTGTCATTAATATTTTTGTTTAAAAGCTATGGCCATCTATGATCTGCTGTGTGTTGGGCAACCGTTGCTGCAACGGGGAGGCATCCAGAGGCGGAGGGTTGATTGTGCCTAAAGAGGGCTTCCGAAGCCTAAGCCAACGATGAAGGAATTTTCAACTTCGACCTGCAGGGAAGAAACCCTAAACCCTAAACCCTAAACCCCAAGCAGCGAAGCCTCTTCCGGAGAAGGGCCCCAGAAGCCCTCAGCCAGAATTCATGACTTATTTTTGAGCGTGCGAATGCCTTACGAGTTTTAGGCAGTGCGGCGCCTCCAGGGCCGGAAAGCGGAGAAGGGTGCGTTTTAGGACTTGCTGCGCTCCCAGTAGTGGGCTAGAAATCCTAACACGCCCTTTGGGACACGAGCATCATGGACATTCGGATGTACTGCCTTTTTGTATCAGGGCACTCGCTGCACACTCACGGCAGCAAAGTTGAACATGGCCATGCTGCATCCGGCAACTCGATCGAAACAGGAACACTAGCTCGTTCGGCCACCTCATGTGGCTGCTAGCGCGACTTCGATACGCCTGATTTCTGGGCCCAACCTATTGTCCTGAACCTTGACAGGCTCGTCGAAATGTTCGGGGCATCACGGGTTAGTGTTTTCCACGGCCTCAGGACGGGTTGCTTTCGGGATGGACGCTGTGGGAGTTAGAAATTCTGCAAGGGCTTCCTAGGCATGTGAGGGCGATGCAAAGCCATCTGTGGACCAGAACTCACTTCAAGTTTACTGGAGGCCCAGGTACGCTCAACCTTAAGCAAAACCATTCGGCAAGATGCAGCACCGGCGAAGTTGGAAGTGAATTCGACGAGGCTATCACAGTAGCTCGTGCTGCACAGGCCTGGGAATCACATGTCCCGAGGCAGCTGTTAGGGGGGCGAGATCAAGACCAATAGTGTTATCATTAATTCATTATGTTTTTGAATTTCGACTCAAATCAAGAGGGTTCTGGATGTGTTTATGTATATAGGCTCAGCTTTAGGTTTTTAGTCTGTGTCGGGCCTTGCTAACCACTTGTCAGGAACCATCTCGCACATGTAGTCGTTCATGCAGCGGCAATGTAGCGTGAGGCTGTCAGACAAGCTGCTTCGCTGTTTAGAGCTACGGTTGGGGTTTGGGAGCACACATTCTCCCAGTCACCTAGAAACTTGCGATCCATGAGGCTTCGCTCGAAACTGTCTGACCTTGTACTAGTTAGGCCCTTGGGACATTTCATATTTTCCCTTCTTGGATTTAAGAGGATCATATTCAGGAATATTTCACAGAGGGTGTTTAAGGGCCATCCTACTAGTAGTTCCTGTCTTTGGGGCCACAACAGAGCTCTGTTGAGCTCAGATGCCCGTCGGAGTTGGGGCTTTCGGGTTTCGGGATCCTAGCTGTTTTGGCCTTTGAAGCCCTTTGAGCCTTAAGCCAGTCTTAAAGCCTAACAAGCTCTGAGCCCCTGGCACCAAGACCGGAAGCCCTAAACTCCAAAACCTCGAAACCTGAATGTTGAGCCCACTTTCTGGGATTTTTTTTTGCGGGGCCAAGCCCAGCAATCCAAGACGGGCGCCCAGCGAGGCAGCAGTGCGCTCCTGCGTTTCTCTCGCTCTTTCTCTCTCTTTCTCTTTCTCCCCCGTGGCGTGTGGGTCAAGGACCCTTTATTTCGTAGGTTACCCTTGGGTCTAGGGGTAGAAGCATAAGGGGTTTCGAGGGCCTTTCAGGGAGTGTTTTGAGGGTTCAGCGAAGAAAGTGTGCCGAGAGCCAACGGGGGAGGGGTCGTTCGCCGAGCGACGGGCAGCATGGACAGAAATACAGAAATCGGAGTATGCAATGGGCCTGAGGGTTTTGGGCGCACTTGTGCGGGCTTTGGGGCTTGGCAGGTTCTGGGTGTAAGATTTAATGTGGCTTATAGCTGCTGCCCGTTCATTGCGGCCTGGCTTTGAGATGCATTCCCAAGCAGTTCTGTTTCGGCATCCTCGTTCCGTTGCAGAAGACATTCACGAAGCTGCGAATTCAGCTGGGAGGGCAGCCTCAAATTCTAGCTAGAACGTGGCAACTTAAGACCCCAGACCCTTGACCTCATGGAGGGTTGCCGGCTAGGGTTTAGGGAGCGTTCCTCAACTCGCTTCGCCCGAAAACATTGTCCACAATCTTCTCGTGCGTTCGCCCTGCGCGCTTGCTTCGAGGGTTCCAAGACTTCAGCTATGTTGAGGCCCGAATCCTCACAAAACCCTATTTACCCCGAACGCCCCACGCCCTAGACTTAAACCATGCAACTTCCCACATCCTGGGTTGCTGTTATGGAACCCAAAACACTCAGAATAAGTTTGCGAAACTAGGAAACCACATTGCTTCACGCGATCTATACTTGGAGGTTAGCGGGTTGGTATAATTGGTGTTACCAGTAGGGTAACTATATTGCTGACTGGTTCTTACCTTATTACCTATTTCCCTACTTACCTTGAAGTAGTAGACAGGTCTCAGATCTGGACCGCACGGGCTCTTCCCTGCGCGCGCTGTCGGCAGACCGGATCAAGGCCGAAGTTGAAATGCTTGAACTGGTATGTATGCATGTCGCCTTACATTTTTACTGGCAGCACGAAAGTAATTCTCGTGCAGCTATTCACGTTTATGAATGAAGATTGACCTATTCTAGATGAGAGCACCCTAGACCTTTGGGGCTCAGGGCTAATGTCGGCGTTTGTGTGGGCATGATCTTGTTTCCATATGCAGACCAGGCTCAGTCTGGCAATGGAAGGACCGTCGCAGGATCTAGGTCCTACGTTTCCTTGTCACGTGAGGGGCCCCAGCAAAAACAGCAAACTTTCCGATGTTTTTTTTAGAAACAGAATCAGAATCAGACATTTCGGAGGTCCGCACGGACACGGGGGAATTCAAGAAAAAACATGGTATGTACAGAGTTTTCTGATATTTTGAATTTTTGCTGGAAAGAAGTCTGGAATAGTTTCTGAAATCTTGGCTTCTGGAGACAGGCTAGGGGTCATTTCTGAAAAAGTGCCCATTCAAATCCGAGCTCACTGTCTGAGCAAACTATTCAGAAATAATTCAGAAGTTGCTGCAGAAGTTCGCCAAAAATGTCTTGGCTTGTTTTTTGAACAAGTTTTCATATATATTTTCAATTTCAGATATTGTTTCAGAAATACGTTGAGACACATGTTTACAAGCATAAAAAACACGAACTATTTCAGGTGCTTGTTAGGAAATCAACTGCTTCAAGGAATCTGGACACATCCAGTTGACGGCCTTCACGAACCTGTAACTGATGGTCTTCACCAACCTAGAATATCAAGGTTCTCCGGTTTCTTCAAACAGGGCTTTAGGGCCCAAAGCCTTGTGTAATTCAAGCCCCAGGGCCTCCCCCCCTCCTCCCCCCCGCCTCCCCCTCCCCTGCCCCCCTGCCCCCTCCCAACTGATGATAACTGATGATGATAAACGAGCCTCTCCCTTGTCATGCCCTCCAAGGGGGGCCTGGCCGTTGACCTTCGCACGAAATTTCTTATAGCCCGGCGAGCCTTGACCTTGTAGAGGTCATTAGTCTTAGAGACAAGAGGCCAGGTTAGGTCTTAGCTGCTGCCCTAAACCACCAGAGTTTTTGGAAGGATCCTGCGCACCCTGGCTCAAGAGACCCGAACCCAAAAGTCGAAGGCACCCAAAGTCCTACCTCCGACGCGTGGCGCAGGCGCTCTCGCGAGATTCCTCCCCGACACTCCCTTCGCGGCTGGCCGACGGCTCAGCTGTCAGCTACAGGGTTTTTGGTGTAGATCTTTTTTTGTGAGGGTCCCCCAAGATTTGTCTTTGGGTAGGCGGCCTTTTTTCAACAAGGGTCCTCCGCCATCTTCGGTCCTGTAATTCACAACCCTCGAAAGGGGCCTTAAGGTGCTGAGGAGTGTGAGGCAGGGCGATTCTAGAGTTCAGAACCTTAAGAGTCCGCCTGTGAATGCAATTTAATTTGTATGGTCTTTTAGTAGAAATACTCTAGCTCTTGTATCCCGGGCAATATTAGTTTTTTTTTTATTAATATGAACTGGAGCCCCCTAAACCTGCACTGGCCCCAGGAGCCTAGCAGCCAAAATACTCCTGAGCTCGCCACCGCTGTTGCCACTGCCCTAAACCCCAAATCCTAAAACCCTAAAGCTCTAAAACCCTTACAGTCTAGAACCCCAAACCCTACCTTAAGCCGCTTTTGAGGTGCAGGCAGCACCATCTGGCCCTCTGGTACAGGCGGGCGCACGTGGCTGGAATGAAGTTCAAGTGTTCTGGCTGGGTTGCTTGCGTTGGCCCCAGAGGGACTTCTAACTCTACTAAGCTGAGGTTGATTTGTAAATACGCTTGAAGTTCTCTGGGCCTTAGAATAAGTACATAGCCCTTTATAACCTACTTGTATGATTGTTTTTTCAGTTTTTTTAGGGGCCCTCCATACGGGGGTTTACGAAAAGAGGGGACCCCTCAAATGGCCCCCCAAATAGCAGGATCCCCTTCTGATAAGGACCCCAAAAATGGTACCCCGAAGATCGTAAACCCCTAAACTAACCAACCCTAAACCCTAAACCCTAAACCCATATTCTTCTAGGAGCTCCAAGCCAGGCCCAGTGGCCGCAGGGTGCCTTCACTGTGATTCCTCGGCCGCTGTCGCCGAGGGTCGAGGCGCACTGGGGAGCTCGGTCTGAGAGGTTTAGGGTTTAGAGTTTAGGGTTTAGGGTCATGGTATCAAGCCCCATGCACCCCTCAAAAACCAACCACCCCTGAGAAAAAACCCTGTAATGTTGAGTTTTGTGACCCCATGTCATAAAGCCGCGTACACCCCCCAAAACCAACCAACCCTAAGAAAAGCCCTGCAATGTGGATTTAAGGCTCACCTTCGGGACTGTCGAGGTCTTCAGAAATGCCGAGCGTCTAGACCAGGATTTTGGAGTTCTTGGCTCTTTCCTTTTCAAGGGCTTGGCTGCATGCGGGAATGCACAGAAGGCCTGGGGATTTTAGGATATGTAGGGGTGTACTGAGCCCTTCTGAGCCCTTGAGGGCATCACCACTGAGGTTTCAACTGCATGTTGCGCGAGGCTCAAGGCCAAGCTTCCCTGAAAAGTTCAATTCGGAACTTCCTACCAACCCTCCGATCAGCATGTCTGAGATTTCCGTCTAGTGCGAAGCAAAGTGCAGCTTGATGTGCCTCGTGCGGCAGTATGTGCAGCAGTAGCTGAATACATTCCGCATTTTGTTTCACCCCCCATAGGCTTGCAAAGCATATGCGTTGCTGGCCTTGAGGGCCGGAATGGTGCTGCGCAAGTATGCGAAGCAAATCCATGACCGAGGCCCCCGACACCGCCGCAAGGTCATTCGAAGCATCGCGAAAGTGGAGTTGCATGCAAGGCTCAGAGGTGTCGAGGCAGCTCATGTGGATGCCGAGAAGGTCGCGGCGATCATTGCATGTGGCCCTCCCGAGTATACGCCAGAAGCAGCTGAGATGCAGTTGCTGGGCCGCTTTCTGGCGGAAATCAAGTCCATGCGTGTAGATCCCTCCGTCGGTCTGAAGAAGGCTTTGGACGATGTCGGCAACGTCCTGGAGCGCGTCGCCAAGGAAGTGAAGAAAAGCAAAAACAAGCCGGACAAGGCAACATGGATGGAGGCTTGCAAGCACCTAAAGACGAGGCTTGCACCGTTCTGTCCCAAACGTGAGAGACCCTCAGCTAAAGCTCGCGCGCGAGCGTCTGCCACTGATGCGCCCTTGCGTCGAGCAGCCGCTCCTTCGGATGCAGATTTCTTAGAGGATGCTAGTGCAGAACCTTCAGCCAGGCCCTTGCAGCAGTTTCGCAGGAGCCAAACTGAGTGGTCCAACATGACAAGCGATGCCCAGCTGGCTTACGTGGGCCAGGTTGAGGTTGGGATAGCAGACGTCGTACGGCAGGAAGATTCTAGACCGTTCTTGAAAACAATCTTTTTGTCTTTGTTGCTTGTAAATTATTCTATAGTAAGGGACAAGAAATAGCCAATTCTTAAACGGGGTTCCAAGAACAGCTAAGGATCTGGAAGAGGTCTTGTGCCAGGTTGTTGCGGCATTGTCGCCGCCTCAGCCGCCTGCAGAGCGCCCACAGAGCCTTGGAGGGGGACAGGAGCCCCGCGAGGCCACGCTGGCCTCGGAATTGCAGCGGCGCCTCCGCCGGCTGCTGCTCAAGGCCCTGCATGCCTGGCGCGTCAACAACTTCGAAGGCATGACCATGCATCTGCTGGAGCATGTGCAGATGCAGATCTCGAAGTTCGAGGACGCCGTGGGCAAGCTCAGTTCAGCAGCTTCAGGGGCGGTTTGGTGCCAGATCCAGCGTGCCATGCGCGAAGTCATGCACCTCCGCCAAGTCGCCGACGAGGAGGTTGTTCGGCGTAGCAGGCATTTTGCATGGTCAACCCCGTTGCTGTTTGGGAAGCTTGGTGCCAAGAAAGCAGCACTAGATGAGGCAATGGCTGCCTTCGGTCGTGATTCGACAATGGAGGAATTGAAAGATTATGTCCGAGGCGAAGCAGCAAAGAATGGAGCGGACATGGTGGCCATCGAGCGCTCACTTGCAAGCTTTCGTTGGAACAGCTATTTTGAGCTACGGGGCGTGAATGCAAATGGGGAACGTGTGTTTGGACCTTGCAAGCCTTGCCCCAGAGGCGTCAGGCGCTTGAAGCACGGCTTTGCAGCCTTGACGCAAATGGCTCGTGCCGGGTTCTGCATCGTAGGTCCTCTTCGATCAGATGCTTCTGAGGCCGCAGCAGACTACGAACAGTTGCTGGAATGGAAGAAGACCCTAACGCTCGAGGCGCTCAAGCAGAGAGTCCAATCCTGGGGCGATGCACATATCACGGTTGTGGATCGCAGGAGCGCACGAGGACAAAAAATGCGCATAATAGCAGGCTTGCTGCGAGTCTTGGGGCTTGCAACGTGGGTTTGGCTTGGCATCGAGTTCCATTGTTCCACCAGCTACTTCACAATCGAAACCCACACTGCACCCTACGGCGCAGTCGTTTCGGTACATCATCGTGCAACACCGTCTCAGAACCTTTGACAAAGCTGGGGAGAAACCCCAAGTTTGAGCCTTACCTTGTGCCAATATGGGGAATGAATGTTCTGCATTAACTCATATGCGCTATGCCCTGATCTTCAACAACTTCAGTAGCTGCTTTCATGCAGATCCCCGTAAAGACTAAGGATAAGGTTTTGTTGCCCTCGCGTTATATTCTATGACTAAGCTGTGGTTCGGGACTACAAGCTTCCTTTTGCATGGTGGAATAAGTGGTCGCTTCCGCCGAAAATTGTCATGACTTTCCCGGTGCAGCAGTCATATGCTGTGGGCCGTGGGCTTGGCTGCAGTTAAGTTAGTGGCTTCATAAACCCTAAACCCTAAACCCTCAACCCTCAACCCTAAACCCTAAACCCTAAACCCTAAACATCCCAAAGAGTTGCGACGCCAGCTTGTAGCAGCAGGCTGTCTCGATTCTTTAGTCCACAGCTGAGGGATGAGGGTTGGGGCGTGCGGAAGAGACTGAGAGCGGGGCTCAGAGGGTTTAGGGTTTAGGGTTTAGGGTTTACAGAAAGGGTTCAGGGTTTAGGGTTTAGGGTTTCTGGCGTGACTTTGCATGCCAGTTGCAAAAGGGTTTTGGGTTTAGGGGCCCGGATGCAACCAGGGTTTCGGGTTTAGGGTGGCAGTTTTTGCCCAGGGCCCCCGGCTACCTGCACCTCCTGTGTTTTCGTCCTCGCCCATCAAGATTGTGCAGGCACCGGGACAGTTTCGCGTCATGTTGGCTGTGGAGCCTAGAGCCCCAAACCTTAACCTCAAAAGCACCATCATCATTCGGGCGTCACCTGTCGGCGGTTGAGGCCCGCAGTTTGGAGCCGTAAGCCCGCAACTCTCCGAGTCTCTAAACCACAGGCTCTCAGACTTACCTTTGCTGCATGCTGCTGTTGAAGATGAGGCTTCGTTATCGGATCGGTTGGAGAGGCAACTTCGAATCCCTCAAGAAAGTTTCGAGACCGAGTTCAATACCAAAGAGCCCCCAAAGCAGCCTGTTCCGACCGAAAACATGGAGCCCAAACCTCTAACCTCAAATCAAAGAAGTCGGTAACCAGACGAGACGACACCCCTAAAACCCAGAATGAGTCCTCGGCCGTCGGCGTGGAGTTTGAAGTCGCTCAAAGCAGCACAAGCACATCCTAAGCTTCTGATCCTTGTGTGCTCGGTGGCTGCACTCGTAAGACTCCTACCGTTCCTCTTCAAATCAATCACAAAACCAGGTAGGCCCTTGGGGCATTTTATATGTTCCCTTATTGGGTTTAAGAGGATCGTATTCAGGAATATTATTCAGAGGGTTTGAAGGGCCACACTAGAAAAATATCCGCGGGCCAGGGGCCGGGGCTGCCGATGTCGCCGCCCTCGCCCCGTCGAGCAGTCCAGGCCTCTCTGCGCTCTGAAGCAGCCAAAAGCACCCTTGGGAAGGCCGTTGCTCAGTTGCTATATGTAGAATGCCACGGCAGCAACACTGCAAGTCGTTCAAGCACCATGTGCAGAGTCTATGTGTTCGGCGCAGAGGTGAGGCCTGTCCGGCCAAGCTTGTTCCAACACCTGGCTTCGGGTTGCTCTTCATCGCATTCTGCTGGCTCTTTCCTCCATGCACGTATCGAATTTAGTAGCTGCCATGCCGCGAGCAATATTTTGCTAACCTCAGATATGATCAGGTATAGGCCCGCACGTTGTGCGTGTCGTCTTCCGGGGATCTCGGAAAGCCAGGGCCCACGCCTCCCAGCGTCGCCACAGTCGGCAGCTCGAGCCGTGCAGGCCCTCTGCTTTTGCCCAAGAAGGGAGTCCAACTGAGTCGACTGGGAGGTTCGGAGGTTCACTGGTTCAAGCTTTTAGCAACGGTGCATGTTTTTGTTCGGATCTCGCCTGTGACAATGGAATGGCACCAAAAGTCGTGAGACTTCTTTGTTCGACCTTTTAGGGGCACCCGGCATTGTTCGCAGAGGCCTGGATGCAAAAGGGTTTTGGGGTTTGGGTTTGCTTGAGGGTTCATGGGCGCAGTGAAAACGAGTGAAAGCGAGAGAAAGCGAGTGAAGCCCGACTCCGCAGCGAGCTTGTTCTCCATGATTTGTTCAGCCATCTGTTCCCCTTCGGCTCATTTTGTGCTTTGCTTGGCTTTTTAGTCCTGAATTCGAACATGAAGGGTTCAGGCTTGAGAGGTCTTGAGGGTGCGAGTGCGGCCAGAACCCGCGACTGCCGGCCGCGCCACCCTCGCCCAAGCAACCAGTGCAGGCCGAAGTGGGAGCAGCTTGGGATGCTTTCGAGGTTTAAAAGGGCGGAGCTTAGGCAGTCCATCCAGACTCCAGCCGGAGTACGGACTCCTATTGTTTCATGGTTTTGGCTTTAGGCTTTAGGGCTTGAGGGGGTTGGGGTTTCAGGGTTCATGGGATTTAGGGTTGAAATGGGCTGAGGGGGTTAGTGTTGAGGGTTGTTCGGGCGGGAGCATAGCCAGGCTCGTTGCAAAAAAGGGTCTTTTTGGGGATGCCCTTGGGTTGGGGGTACCCAGGACTAAACCCCTAACACCCCAGAGGCGTGTGGAGCTTGGAGCCACGGAGTCAAGCAGAAACCCCGCAGAATGGTCCCGTAGGCTCCGCAGCCTCCCTCGCCCATACCGGCCGTCCTTTGCAGCGCCTCTCCGATGATGAAGGACGGGGAGCTCTTTCCCTGAAGGGTCCATGTCGGATGTACGTGGCATGGGGCCCTTTAAGGCTACTTGATGAGAGCCCCTCTTTAAGGCCCATGTAGAACCAAACAGGCACATGGGCCCCGTGGGCTCGAAACTATGGAGTTCCGTTTTGGTGTGGTATCGGGTGACATAGCGCCCAGCCCGGCACAATCATGGTACTCAGAAAGGGACGTGTGAGTCTAGTGAAGTCGGCACAAGGAGGTTTGGGCTTAGGGCCTACTTGAAGGCTCATGAGTAGCTCTCAGTACAGTTTAGGGTTTAGGATGTGTATGAGCCTCAAGCAACCAACCTTGAGAAGGGGTCGAGCTTGCCCATATCAATCCCGCAGATATTCGGGCGAATGCTCCCAGTAGAATCAGAATTCGCTCGGGGCCAAATCGGCAAGAGGAGGACAGCATGATTCACCAACTTCGGTGGGCCAATCTGTTGTTTTGGTGGCCTTTGGCCCCCCAAAACCTAAACCCTCAAGCTGTGGCCGGACGGTGGCAAGCAAAGCCCTCAAAGCCCTCTCAGTCGGCGGCCTTCCTTCAGCGAAAGCTCACGCGAAAATCCCGGCAACCTGCGACCAGAATAGACCCTAAACCCTAAACCCTAAACCCTACACCCTAAACCCTAAACTATAAGGAGCTCCAGCCATCATCTTCGTTCACGTTGCAGAGTCAGGGCGGCTCTGACCAGGCGGGGCTTCGACAGCCAGGTTCTTGAGGTGGGGGTTAAGGTGCTGAACGGGTTGCCAGGGCTTCCAGGGTTTACAGGCCTCAACACTCTTGGCACTTCATTCAAGGGCGGGCAACAGTCATGTATAGTTAGTAGTGTTAGTGTGTGTGTGTGTGTGCGTGTGCGTGCTATGGCCCTCGCTATGCAACAGCACTTGAACCTTGTAGCCTCGTGAGCAATGGTTCAGAGCCTGAGGTTTTCAGGGTGTGAGGAAATAGGTATCTACTTCCCTCGGCTCGTATATCTTATTTCCCCCCCTGTTGTCTCAACCCAGATTCCGCCCTAGCCCTGGATGTTCCCATAAAGTACAAGCCAACAGTCTGGGAACTGATTTGTGTTTGGGGTAGGGCAAGGTTGAGAACAAAACAGTTCGTGCAGGGGCCTTGCGGGCCCAGCACTCCTTGCAAGGATCGATCCGCGGGCCGGGTGCTTGACATCAGAGGACTTACTAAACTTTATTTAACCTCCCCCCCCCCCCCCCCCAAAAAAAAAATAAACCCTAAAGACCCTGAGACCCCCCCCAGGGAATTTTTTCGAAGCCAACAGTGTCGCTTGAGGGGGGCCCCAGCCCCAAAAAACTCGCGAAGACCTTGCGGGGGGGCCTCCTATGAGGCTCCCCCTAAAACTTCCTGAGATGGGGCCCATTCCTATGTAGATCAGATTTCTCTCTTGGGGGCTTGCTGAGGGGTTGAGGGTTGAGGGTTTAGGGTTGGTTTATACTTGCTTTGCTTGGGGGCCATGAGGGTTCAAGCAGTGTTCACCCTAAGGCCTTACGATGTCAGGAACAGCAACGAAGAGGGTGCACTTCCCTATCACCCACTGTCACCCACTTGGGAAGTCCGCAACTTCAAGGCCCAACTGCTCAAAAACAAGCCCATGGAACTGACAAACAATCCCATAGAAGGGCATCGATCTGTGCATGATCTGAACAGTTTGATCTTACCATGGAAGTACAGACCACGGGAACCCCTGAAGCCCTCCTTGCATCGCCTGGGCCTGTGACGTGTCTTGCCAGAGCGGTTTCGCGTGGCAGGGCTTGAGGAGATCCAACACGAAGTCTAGTGGGGCTCTGGGCCCCAAACTCCAAGATTCTCGAACCCCGGGCCGCACTGGCAGCACTGAAGCTCATACCTTACGCCCCAAAAAGGCTCGACACCTGCAACTCGCAGAGCGATTTGTGAACTTAGGTGGCTCGCAGTCAGGGAGCAGGCAGCCGGCCAGAATCATGGCGGATAGTTCAAGTGATGAAGTTGAGGTGATAGAGGGACAAGACTTACGTGGAGGTTGCTCAATTCTACGGATCAGGCCTTGTTCCCAAGAAGTCCCACCCTGATTCACTTGCTTGGGTATCGGGTTGCACTAGTGTCGCACAAGCGCAAGCTCGCTCACGGACCCTTAAAGCCCGTTGAACATGTGATCAGCATCGCCACTCGCTAAGCCATAAACTTAACGGCAGAAGCTTGCAGCTGAGCGGCAATGAACGCCTCAAGTTCTAGGTACTCAAGTTGGGATGTTCCCCCTTCTACTAACAGGCCGTCATAGGGATTTCATAGGGGGTACTAGAATCCCTACTAAGGGCTGTTCGATGTAGGGGGGAACATCCCAATACTCAACCCCCAGACCTGGAGCGCCCTGGCGCAGGCCGCAGACGCCCAAAGTTTCTTGGCGGCTGACGGCCGAACAGGAGGCGAGGTAAAGGTCTATGGGGGCCCCCCAAGCAAAAGTTGAAATCATAAAGCGCGCTAAGCTCATAAACTTTGCAGGCCTTTGCTCTGTGGCGTGGATGTCGTGCAGTTTTTTTTGTTTTGAGCGCATTCGGCGCCACGATCCCTGCCTGCCCCGGAACCGCTCTTCAAGGATCATGCCACGGGCATACTTGAAGGCTCATAGGTGGTTCCAAGTGAGGGTCAAGAATTGCCCCCCCCCCCCCCCCCCGCCCAAACAAATTTGGACCCTCTATAAACGCATAGAAACCTTAAGGCAGGAAGCTTTCCAGCCTTTAAGATTCAGCCTAAGGCCCTCAGGGGCCTCAAGCCTTACTGCGTAGGCCCTCAGCTCTAAACAAGAACCCTTTAAAATGACAATCATCCGGAAAAAAACTGTGTATTAAAGAGGTTGACCAGACAAACTTACTAAAGACAGTCACCGGCCCGTGGGCTACCTATCACAAGATTTGTTTGGGGCTTCGTTTCGTAATGAACTTCCATAAGCCTTTACATGGAATGGCTGGGCTTACCTTTCTGGATTCTCCGGGGCTGGCTCTTTAAGATTCCTGGAGTCCAAGGTTCTCAGGGCCTCAAGCCTTTCTGCGTGAGCCCTTAACCCTAAACACAAACCCTTAAAAAATCAACAGCCGTCCGGCAAAAGAAATGTCATAATAGCGGGTTACACCAACAAACTCGGTCGCAGAGTACATGTTGGACACTTGTGATTATAGACCCTGCTTATACTAAAGTCATTGCAACTAAATATGTCTGTTCATAACATTCTCTAGGGCGCCTATCACCGTACTTAACTACTCATGAACCTTCAAGCAAGGTATGCATGGGCCTTTTTGTGTTCAAGGCTGAGAACTCTAAACCCTAAACCCTAAACCTAAACTCTAGACGTTCAGGGCCCCCGCTTGCCTTAACTCGCCTAGCCCTCGGAGACACCTCAGACCCACTCGGGTAGCACCGAAGACCGCCAGCCGAGTCCCCCGAGCTAGATGATTCCTGGCGAGCACCACGAAGTCCTAACGAGCTGCTCTGCACGGCCCCAAGTCTTCGTACATCCTCCAGAGTGACACAGCCCCTTTGCCGTGCCCCGTCCAGCATAAAGACTTCAACGTTTAAAGCCCTGAAACCTTGACCCCTAAGACCTCCAAGCCCGCAGCCCGACGAATCCAGAAACCTTATATGAGCCGATAAGTTCCACCCTGACCCTAAACGCCCATAACCTCTGGAACCCCAAAATCGTAAACCCCCCCCAAGTCCCTGAGACCACCCCGGAATTCCCTAAATTCCCTGAACCCCATAAACCTAAACCCCCAAAGCCCTCAACTCTGAACCCCCCCTTTTTTGAACCCTACCCTTCTGAGCCCATACATACCCAGACCCCTGGCCAAATCCAAAAAGCAGACCCCCCCTAAATAGTACCCTAATTAAACTGCTAGTGGGTTATTTTTTCGGAGCCCAAACAGTAGATCCCCTCAGGGGTCTGGAAAAAAGTGCCAGGCAAAGGAATTCCAGGGGTCCTTGGCCTTGCAGACCAAAGTGGAGGCCGGTTTCAGGGTTTGTGGGGATAGGGCTCAAGGGACAACAAGGGGGGGGGCTGTTCTGAGAAGGGTTTTTCGGGATGATTGGGGTTTGGGTTGTCGGGCTGTAGGGTTGGGTTTTAGGGGTTTGTCAGACAGGGCTCGACATAAATGCGGAAATCAGAAGTGTAGTTGCCATCCATGAGGGGATGAGTGGGGGTGTTTAATACGGGGGGGGGGGGTGGGGGGAGGTGGTTCGGGTTTTTTGGGTAGGAAGGTAACCTCAAGCCTTTGGATGCCATGGGTATAGTGTTGAGGGTAACGCACACTCTGGAACATCGCGTCACCTGTGCAGAAGAAACAGAGGGCAGACTCTGAACGGCTGTGGCAGAACAGAGCGAGCCAGCGGGACACAAGCTTGCAGAGGTAAGGATCGACCCCTCAAAAGTTCTACACACGCCTGGAGGACGGTCCCTGGCCCTGAAGTAAATTTCCATGGAGTTTGTAGGGGCTTCACTGGGAGGTTTCGGTTTCGGATTCGCGTGAGGCCCTCCTGAAGGAGCTCGACGTGGAGAGAGCCGCACGGATGGCCCTCACCTCTCGGGTAGAGGCAAGGAATTGGAAGCCTTGACCAGACCATCAACTCCACATGCTGAGCCCCGAAAACACCAAGGGCCCTACTTAAGCTGCGTTAACCCCTACGTGCGTGTCCTGCTTATCCTAGCCGCCATGAGAGGAGTCGGAGGCCAAATTGGCAGCAGCTGTCGTCGCTGGCCCTAGTGCTGGCGAACTGCATGCAAACTCATTGGCAGCTGTCGACAGCGATGCCCTATCCCCTGACTGTTCGGGTGTCAAGCTCCAGGTTGTATGAAGCCCCAAGGTTTGGTTTGCTGAGGGCATTCGTCCTGGGGTCCGGTGACTCCCTCGTTGCATGGGGATTAGCAAGCTCAGGCTCCGTGTGCCAGCCTTGGCAGGCTCAGGGCTTAAGGCTCATGAGGCACATCTGCATTCAGATTCAAGAGGCCACCAGGCGCCCCCCCCGCCCTAAACTGTTTGCCGGGTGGCAGCAGACAAGTCTCCCCTGCCAAAGTCCTTGATCTGCGGCTCGTATGCCCTCCAATCTTCGCCACAAGAGAGAACTAGGTAGGCCCTTAGGAGATGTTATATTTTTCCCTTAATGAGTGGGCGCAAGAGGATCATATTCAGGAATGTTTTTCAGCAGGCTTTAAGGGCCATAAGCCCTAAAACCTACACCCTAAACACTAACTAAGCCCTAAACCCTTATATGATTCAACAGAGGGTCATATTCCGGAATATATGTTTCAGAAAGTTTTATGGGCCATCCTAGAGAAGAGCTGCTTCCCCAGGAAAGCCTAAGTGCTCAGCTGCCGCAGCTCGAGACGAAGATCCAGGAGGCCCAAGAACCTGCCCCGCCTCAAGCCAAGAAGCCCCTCAAACTTCTCCTCAAACCCTTACCAGCGTGGGCAATTATCTCCTACAACCCCTTAAAACGGCCCTTTATCGGGTTAGCCTCGTGGCTCCTAAACCCAACACCCTACGGACACAGTACAGTTTTCTTTGGGGTCTTAGTGTCTGCTATGTCCGCTATGTCCGCTATGTCCTGTCTTCCGGACCACCAGTACACAGACTTCTCCGGTACAGGCTGGAGGACGTGGATTGAAACTGTGAGCACATATAAAGAGCACCAAAGACAACGTACGAGAGCACAAGTGCACATATATGTATATATATATATGTGTATACATACATATACATATATACATATATATATACATACATATACATATATACATATATATATACACACACACACATATATATATATATATATATAATGCGCACACAGACAGAAGAGCACGGCATTCAGCAGCCAGCTCAGAACCAGAGGCCCAGGTGGGTTTCTCGAATGATGTATGACTATCTTTTTGCCCTCAAATTGCACGTTGCACTTTCTAGTTGCCGATTAGTTGGCGCCCGTGCCAGCACAGGACAAGGTATCACCGAAGGCTTAACGCACATCTTCAAATCGACGACTTCGCTTAGACCTGGCTTACTTAGCTATCAAATTCGGCCGAAGGTGGCATCGGCGGCGCCGGTCACCGTCGCAGCCTCTATTAGAAGGGTGTGGAGTTGAGGTCGGGCTTCTTTCGGGCTACATTCCAGGTGTCTGCACTTCAGCCGAGGGTAGACATACAAGTGCATGCATCTTGGCAGGCAGGCGCGCATGCACGTGGTGTGCTGTGTATGTGTCAATATGCATACATTCGTGATATGGCTGTGCCTGTATGTTCATGGCTCACACCTCTTTTTCCTCACAGGCCATAGGCGAACCAAGTGAACGTAATCAAAACTTGACAGATTCAATTGTTGGAGAACGGTCTCTAGGTTCCTTTTCACAGTTGCACTGCCTAACCGCTAGCCACTCACACAAGTGAGTGCTTGTTCGAAGGCCATGTTTCAGGTGGTTTCTTTCAGTGCAACGCCGCGTGCTTGCATGCAAACCCGCAGTTGACGTGGCTCGCAGATGCCCCATGCTTCATCATGCAACAGCCACTTGACATCTGGGCTTTAGGATCCACTTCACTTTACTGCACGTGCCAATGCCGTTGGCTGTAGCGAAAACTTTGTCAACTCTTGGGTCCACTACGGTATCACTACAGAGAAGCAATTCGTCCTCTGCCGCTCCGCGGAAGCTTTTTGCCGACGGAGATGCAGCTGTCGACGCTTGGGATGAAGTCTCTAAGCCCCTGAAATCGTAAACTGCCCTGCTCAGACCTCATGGAAAGAGCCTCGGGATGTTCCCCCTTATACTGACAGTCCTTAATAGGGATTTTAGCACCCCCTATTATATGGTCCCCTTTACAAACTCTTAGTATAAGGGGGAAGCATACCCAAAAAGAGCCCCCTGGAGAAGCCCAGGAAGCCGGTGGGCGCGGCGGTGATGCTCGGCACCGCCATCCTGGGCGCCGCAATCGCGAAGGTGACGCAACAACGAGGCCCCTTGACTACCAGCATGGGCTATTATATCCCCATCATGAACCCTATAAAGGGCCTTTTAAGGTATTCTCGGGTTTGATAGCCCATCCTGGTACCACGAAGCCCGACACCTCCACTGAAACCCTGAAATCTTTAATGCAACCCTAAAAATGCCCTGCCTTGAGGATCCTTAAAGTGTAGGTCTTCAGTGGCGCTTTGTAAAGGGTCTTGCGGGCCAGATCGACTATGACGTTGCGGGGGCTTCTGGATTCTTGAGGCTTCGAAGCTGTGTGTTGGGATCTTTTTTCAAACAGTCTTGCCTCTCCCCACGTGGAGATCAACGACGGTGGGTGCTGCTAGGGGCGTTGGCTAGCGAAAGGCCTTAGGGGTCCAGGTGGGCGTTTGTCCCGGCATAGTGCCTCCGACCAGTTCTTGCAGCATGTCAAACGGGTCATTTGCTTTTAGGCATTCAACATGTTCATGTCTATACTTCAGGGTTGAGTTTGGGTTGTGGGCTTCTTTTGTAAGTTCTACGGTTCCAATAAGATGCATCCGTACCTGTAGACTTCCTGTTGGGAGGCCGTACCTAGCGTGAACGTGCAATCAAGAGTGGTTTAGTGAGAGGTTTGTTCTTCTGGTATGCTGTGGCCTGGGCAATTGGGTTCTGCAAAGGTGGAAAGCTGCTCGTGCTGGCCGAGGCGACCGCAAGGGATGGAGACGGTTGGGATGTAGTGCCTATTCACCCTGCTGTTTGATAACGTTTGCTTGCTGGGCGTTACGGGCACCGTGGTGTTGATCATCGCAGGGCGCCGCAGTGTATTCCGGCTAGTTCTGCAGTGTTTAGGACTCAGGCTCAGCCATCACAGGCACGGAATGCAGATTCCTCCCCTCGAGCGTAGCGGTGTTCCGGAGCCGTATCTGTGTCTAAATGTGTGCATATATGTATGCGCTTTACGAATTTGTTAGTATCTGTTTTTTGTAGTTATAAGTCATTTGAGCCCAAAGCCGACCGTGACCCCGGAGCCGCCAGTCTCTAATCTAAGGGTGAGAGTCCACAGCTTCTCGAATTTCTCAAGCTGCAGGTTCGGCAGCACCAACATTGCACCCCGAAGACTTTAGGAGGTTGGCCCACAGCTGCAGACCCCTTTGCGTGCTCGCACGCGAGCGCGCGTGTGAGGGTAGTTTAGATCATTCATGCTTTTCCATTCCCTCGTTTGCAGCGGGATTTGGTGTGTGGAAGAGGCGTTCGCCTCTGGCTGCTTGCTGTGTGCTGCGTGCTTCAACTGCAAAGGGGGTGGGGCGATTGGGGCTGGTTTGTATGAAGTTTATATGGGTCTGGAAAAGCGATTAGCCTTGTCGTGTGTTGCTGGTCTTGGCGGTTCAGAGGATCAAGCGGGTAGGCTGCAACCCCAAGCCAAGTTCGGCAATTGTTTTTAAACAGTGGCCTTGCAGCCCATCGGTTTCGGGCAACTCTGCCGAGGGTCTCTAGAGTCGTGGTTGCTGCAGGTGTTTCTTTGTGAGGCGCACCGAAGCCTAAACAATCCCACAAGGGCAGGCGAAGCAGAACCCACAAAGTCAGGGTTCATGGCTCTTCAGACCTTCATTGCTGCTCTCAGACCTGGTGCCTGGAGCACAAGCCCTCCAAACCTTTACGCCTTAAACTTACCACCCAAGCTACAGCAACTGCAAACCTTGTGTCCCCTCGAGTCTACATCTGATGGCTTGGGACGTTCCCCCGTATACTAGCAGTCCGTAAGCGGGATTATCGTACCCTCTATTATCATCCCTATTAAGGACTGTAAGGGGGAACATCCCAACTGATAGCCTTTAACCCACCTGGCCACCTAGGTTGGTGCACCTGCTGTCCGACGCGAGTAAAGATCTGGACCGCCCTCCACTTGAATCCTAAAACCCTTAGGAAGTGGAGCTTCATTAGAAAAGAGGTAGGGGTTGAAAGGGTTCGGGGCCAAAAGGCCTCTGAACCCCCTAAAGCCCCAAACTCCACTAAACTCGAAGCCCTTGGAATTACTATAGCAACTTGAGCAAATACGTTTTTCATCTGTATACATAAAACCCAAAAGAATATTGAGGATAGTACTTTTATAAAGGTTCTACAAAAAGGGGGAGTAGAGATTAAGCAAAGCAATTCGTGCTCCGGCTTTCAGAACCTGGACCCTTCATGGCCGCTGGCTTGTCCGAAGTTCTCTGAAGTAAGTGGCACTTACTTCATAGAGCCTCGGACAAGCCAGTAAGTGGGCACTTTTTGTGTGTGGACTCTCAGACCCAAAGCCATAAGCCCTAAGCCCTAAGCCCTAAACCCTAAGCCCTAAACCCTAAGCCCTAAACCCTAAACCCCCAAGTTCGGTTGCCCACAAATCGCCTGGCTTTCCCGAGTTGTGAGCCGATGAGGACGCAGCAGGCCAAGCAGGGATCGATGGGTGTGGAGCCCAGTGGGCCCAGTACAGGCGCCGAAATCGTCACCAATACCCCTTGAGATGTTCCCCTTTATACTAACAGCTCCTGAATAGGGGGATTAGAATAGGGGTACGATACGTAATCTCTACTAAGGAAAAATAGGGATTATCATGTACTCGAATCTGTATAAAGGACTGTTAGTATAAGGGGGAACATCCCGAACTACCCCTGACGATCCCCCGCCTCATGGAAGGCAATGTAAGCAGGAATATTGATGCCTAGCCTAGCTGCTTGGAATGGGCATTTTGAGGGAGTAGAGCACCTTAGAACGGTATACAGATTGCAAGTGGATGAAATGGCAAGTATTTAGACGCATGTTGCTTCAAGCCCGAAACCCAGTGAGCACTTGAAATTGGCGGCTGAAGCTCTGGTCAGGGAGCCAAGGGCATGGAGGATGGGACAGGTTCCACAAAGTGACGCCCGTGCAGTACAGTGTTCACAGTTCCTTTCGAGTTGCTATTCCCTGTCAGCACAGCACAGAGCAGAACAACCGAGCCAACAAAACACCTCATGCGAGCCTTCATTCTGCCGGAGAGAACTTGTCAAAGCCCTGCGTCCTGAACTGACGCCCCTACAGGCCTTAAACCGCATACGTCCCTTGTACCAAGGACCCCTAGAAGGGACCCTTATTTCTCAAAATAACCCCTATATATACACCTTTTTAATCCTTTTTAAATCCCCATATACCTAAGTAGCCCCTAAATACAAGAGGGTGCAAGGGTCCCTCCTTGCAGCGAAAGGGGGGGCCTGCAACCATTAGGAGTTTTCCCTCGAGCCCAGGGAAAGCGAAGAAGAGCCGCAGCTCGGCAGAATGTTTGGTCTCAGCCCTTGGCACTGCGAATGCGAACACTAAGCAATGGCCTACGGGTTTTAGGGTCTGGGTGCTCACCACCCCCACCCCCTTAATGACGCCGCCTTGAAGTGAGATCCCTTCGCACTGAACCCTCTCGCGGGTTTTAACCCTGTCACCCTCCCTCCCCACCACAAAATAAAAGGACTGAAGCGTGGAGCCCCTACCCTGAACCCTCCCAGACGCGTTCAGTCGCTTGGCTTGTTTTTGTTGTTGTTTTTTTTGTCTCTTTCTCTCTCGCTTCCCCTCCTCTCCTGGAGAGGATAGGGTCTGCGGGCTGAAGAGTTGGGAGATTCGGTTGTTTCGGTCAAGCGGGCCCCTAACCCCTACACTGTTTACTAGGTTCGGCAAGCCCTCAACTACCCCCTTAGCCCACTAAGCCCCCGTCAACACGCCAGCCCTCCAGAAGCAAACAGTTCCCACCTGAGAAAGCTCTACACCCTGAACCCGAAACCTTAACCCTGAGACCCTAAAGCTATTTCCTCGAGATTTAGCAACCAACATCTTCAGAGAGGCTTTGGTGTGCAAGCACTTATAATCCCCAGACTGTAATATGCTGCGGCTAGATCCAGACCCTAAGCCCCCCCAACAATCCCTAACATGAAGCTTTTTTTCTGGCATGTCCGACTCGCGGCTGACACGAAGGCAATCATAAGGCAACGTAAGGAATCCCGCAAGGTACCCCTACGCAGCGCTCCTTTGCGGGCTGGGAGCTTTGGGGGCGCACTTTGCCGCTCGGCAACTCTTCAGGTGCTGTTGTCAGATGGGCTTTGAGAAAGCTTTTCGTACGATAATGCAGG